GGTGTGTGGTTGGGGGTGGGGGAGAGAGAGAGAGAGAGAGAGAGAGAGAGAGAGAGAGAGAGAGAGAGAGAGAGAGAGAGACTTATAAGAACAAAAGCAGGTCTCTCCATCCTTAATTGTCTAAACAACCTTAATTGACTAATCATAAACAGTCTGCGGCAAGCTTGCAGGGATCGCTGGCCTGTGTGTGTGTGTTAGTGCGCTCTGCTCAAGCGCAAAGGCCCACGTGGGGCAATTTTTTTATATGTATGTCAATTGGTCGCTACTTCGCGGATTTTCGTTTATCGCGGGTGGTTTTGGTCCCCATTATCAGCGATAAACGAGGGATTACTATACAACTGAAGTGAACCTAAAATGAAGTGCACACAAAATTCAATCATTAATTCATTTTCCGATCTGCTTCAGCCTCACAAGGGCCGCGGGGGGGTGCTGGAGCCTATCCCAGCCGTCATTGAGCGGTAGGCAGGGGACACCCTTAACCAGTTGCCAGCCAATCGAAGGCACACAGACGAACAACCATCCACACACTCACTCACACTTATGGACAATTTAGAGTGTTCAATCAACTTGCAATGCATGTTTTTGGCATGTGGGAGGAAACCGGAGTACCGGGTGAAAATCCACACAGGCCGGGGGAGAACATGCAAACTCCACACAGGGAGGCCGGAGCGGGGATTGAACCCACGACCTCTGCACTGTGAGGTCGACGCGCTAAACACTGAAGCACCGGGCGCCCATGTTAAATTACATTTGCACCTAAATAACCATTTTAAGCATTTGATTGGAATTGACTTTCATCTTTTAAATGTCTTTAATTTTTTGCACAAATTCACTGATTCTTTTGCGTACTACTAGAGGGAGCCGACAAACCACACTGTGAGAATCGCTGCTCTTTCACATAGAATGTTTTGTACATTATTCATTCATCTCTTTTCTTAGAATTGAACCTAAATATTGTTCGGTGAGAGTTGCCAGCCGATTACAGGGCATTTATACAACAACCAGTCACACTCACACCAAGGGACAATTTTGAGGCTTCAGTGAAGTTAACGTGCGTGAAAATGCAAATACAAATTTGATTGAGGCCCCCCGAATAAAGGTTGCATTTACAGATCCCACTTAGTTTATGCTCAATTAAAAGTTTGTGAAATTAATGTGTTTGGTAAGTTTGGTTCGTTACACTTGGTTGCCATGGTGATGATGGTTTCTGTGGTGGCGTGATCCTCATCTTCCACCCGCGGGTCGTACTGGTCCAGGAGCTGTGTAAGAGGCGGTGCTTTGGGAAGCAGCTGCTGGATCATGTCCCTGCTAATGTTGGGTGCCTGCTCCAGCCGTAGGATACTGAGGATCTGCGACTTGATGCTGTAGAGCCTCATCTGCTTGCTATGTTCCCGAAATTCGCAGGCTGAGCACGCTTCGATGCCTTCTGCCATCTGCCCGGAGGTCCGGTTCAGCTCCCTGCAGAAGCCCGCGGAGAGAATGGCAGTCACACCAAGCAAGAGGAGCATCTTGGACACTCACTTGTGCTTGGTGGGGTGAGGCTATATGAAATGCTGTCTCTGCCCTCAGGACTCGATGATTGGCTGTTTAATGTCAAAGCAGATTTAAAGAGGTAGCGCTGTTTCTTTTGATTAATTATTATTATTATTATTATTTTTCCATATGATGGTCGAGGAGAGATGCCAGTTGTGTCTTCTTACAGGTGTGCCCTGAATTGTTTGTTGCTGGAAACTGAACATTTGCAACACAAGACAACAAAAATCTGAAAAATAGATCGGCATGTTTAACACATGAATGAACTTTTTATCAAACTTGCAGCGAAAACAAATATATATATATTACAAAGTACAAAGTATACCCCTTCACGAGTCGCTATGATAAAAGACAGAAGTGCATTCTGAAATATATATGAATGCACACAATGTATATATAACAAACAGTACATACAGACATACATAAAATGTTTTAGAGAGAGGATGTCAAAATTAAATCAATCAATATATAAATAAACACAAATAAAGGGTTTGCATAAGGGTCCACACCCTCTTATAACTGAACTGAGTTCAGAATCAACCAATCACATTTGAAGTCATGTTAAAAACCCAATTCCAATGAATTTTGGATGTTGTGTAAAACAGAAATAAAAAACAGAATACAATGTTTTTCAAATCATGTTTAACCTATATTTAATTGAATACAGTACATTACAAAGACACGATATTTAATATTCAAACTGATAAACTTGATTGTTTTTAGCAAATAATCATTAGCTTGTGGCTGGGACACATTCTAAAAATGCTGGGATAGCTAGCAAAAAGTTAAGGAATGCTCATCAAACACCAAACATCCCAAGACTTATCTTACAAAAAAATAAAACATCCAGGCCCAGTTACATTTTGCAAAACCACATTTGAAGTCTCCCGAGCACTTGGGGGAAAATGTGGTAATGTCTGATTTCACCAAGGTTGAAGTTTTTGGCCCAAAACTTTTGCAGCAACCACAACACTGCTCATCACTAAAAGAACAAAATATCAAGTAAGAAGCATGGCTGTGGGTTGATAAAATACATCATGGCATGCTTTGGGGCTTTTTTATTTTTAGCTAGAACTGAGGCCACAAATTTCAGTGTCACAGATTAATCCTGAGCACCGTCACTTCCTTAGTTATAATAGGATGTGCACACATTAGCTGAGTAGTTTAGTTTTATGTCCCCTCGAAAAAAAGTTTTTGCCACCAATTAAGTTGTATAGCTCTTTTGTTACCTTAATGGTGGGAAAAGTTTTGAAATTAATTATCTTAGTCTCATTGTTGAATCTCACTAAAGATGGCATTTGCTCAGCGGTGTGTACAGTATATCTAATTGCCACTGTACTTGACCTGATTTTTATAAATGTCCCAGAAAACCTTGACTGCAATGTGAGCACGAATTGCAAAAACTTTTTGCCCCACGAATTTTAAATGTTATTGGAGCTTGTAGCGTCGTTGATGGTGTCGTGGTTCACTCGGCCGACTTGTGTGTCGGCAGCGTGGCATCGATTCCCACTTGGTGACGATGTGCATGTGGTTGTGATTGGTCGTTGCTTCTATATGACCCCTCCGACTGACTGGCGACCAATTCAGAGTGTAGTCTGCTTCCGCCCGAAAACTGCTGGGATTGTCCTCGAGCAATTCCCCGCGACCCTGTTCAGGATAAGCGGTGTTGAAAATGGATGGGTGGATGGTAATTTTAATGTGAAAGAACCGAATTAGTTTTTAAAAACATAATTACTACCATCAGAGGGCGCAACTATACTATCAACCATGCTTGTTTGAGTTTTCCTCTTTGTACCTGTAGTCCAATGTTTCCCAACCTTTATTGACCCAGTGCAACCATAGCATTGTTTTCGTAAGCGAAAAACTATTTTCGTACTTTGAAGGGGAAAGAAAGGGTTGAGTTTCGAAAGAAGGGGAGTGACGTCTTCCGCACAGGTTGAAAAAAAGCAACAAGCCTACTTTGACAAAGAAAAGAATAGAATGTACAAATATCACTTGGAATGTGCACAGTAAATGTAAAATGCTGACAGAAAAAATAAGCAAAGTACTGCTAGGTGAAAATGTACTGATTAAGTACACTATAATTAAGTGCTTGTACTGTGCTTTGTTACCCCTCACCGCTGTTCATTTGCTTGTTTGTTTGTTTCTTAATAGCACTTCAATAGTGATTGAATTTGTTCTTGGTCAACTTTGTGTTACAAATAGGTCCAATTGGTGCTGCTGTAAGACAAAGCCTATTGGGGCTTCACTCTGAGTCTGTGACCATCATCAGCCAAGGTGAAGAGACAGATTGTTACACGCTGTTTCCCACTGACAGTGTCAGGAGAAGAGCATAGACTGCGCAGACGTCCTCGGGTTACAGGACTCCATTTCTAATTGGATCTCTCATGTTGCTCTGGGATGATGAGATAGAACATCCTCAAAAATGTCAGACAGGCAAAGTTTAAGACCTGAAAATTCACATTTTGATGTCAATATGTCGGTGAAGATTGTCAGTCATCCAGGTCGTGGAAATCCACAAAGGTTGAATGGAGGAAAATAGGCTCATGTATGTTGAAGATGTTTCGATTTTAAACCCAAAGGGCTTCTTTGCTTCAAAATGTTACGTGCGGAGTCTCCATGTTTATGTCTTTGTGTGTCTTGTGGGGTGGTCATGTGAGTGTTGCTGTTGTTCTTGCTCTTGCCACGGGTGGATGATGAATGAGCATTTAGCTGACGTTCTCCTGCCTAGTGGCAAAACTGCTGCTTCATGGCCACAGCTCACATGGATTAACAGCTCACGTGACCCTAATAAGGACAAAGGTTACAGCACTTTCATAGATGCTTAAATTTAAACAATTAATTTATTTAGCAGCACACAAATAATGTTTGTAAGGTTTTAGGGTGATCTTGCAAGTTTGTTTTTATTTTTGCTTAATTTTAGTTCTGTTTGTATCAGGATTTAGTGTTACCTTTTTTAATTCTTTTGTAATTCTGGGAATTTGACTTCGAATTGATAAAAAGTTACAAAAAGTTTCAGGTGCTAAACTCAACTGAAGCGACCATTTAGAAGAAAGTATGCTGTTAGTGCGGATATACAGCCATGCACAAATTAAATACTGTACAAAAAACAGCACAACCCAAAAAAATAGATTTCATAGTCTGTATAAAATACATTGAAAAACCTGAAAACAGTATTTTTGCTGTAATAGTAATTCAATGGAGTTTGTCATTTATTTCATTCGCTTGTACTCAGACCATCTTTCAAAGTGCAGCTGCTTATGGTGGTGACGTTTGAATCCAATTATGAGATGCAAAGCCGCTAGTTGGGCCGCACTGTTTGAGGATGGGTTGGGGGTTTAACTGTTAGCAGGGAATGCAGATTGCGGGATCTACTCACCAAGAGAGACAAATGGACTTGATGTAATGATCTTCATGATGATGAGGCAGCTAATGTGAAGATTTGGAATCAATAAAAACGACGTTATAGAGTTGCCCTCAGGTGTGCATCATGACCAAGCATCCTCCCCTGCTGCAGGATGCAGTATGGTACGGCCCATGTTACCAAGGTGAGTGGACCGCTTAGTGGGAGAGGCCATCTCAGCCCAGCTCATTGTGTTCACACAGAGTGGCTGCTTTGAACCTTTCTGGGCATGCTGGGATTCCACACACAGGTACTTCCTGTTTCGCTCCATGAGTTGTGCATTTCTTTCATCTGCTCTGATCAAATCATGTGGTTTTAAAGAGAAGCGGGATTAGATCGGCGAGCAGTGTGTGAGTTCCAGATGATAACAGCGAGATTACACGTGTGAAACTTTTGGATGAGTGATTGGTGCTTTGTGCTTAGAACTGACCAGAATCAAGATTGTCAGGTTTGACAGATGTGTTAAGGACTTATTATTGACCTACCTACTCTCATGCTTAATTTCCTAGGGCAGGCAATGGCACCCAGATAAGCCCAGCCATGATGACTGTGGCAGTTTGCTTTGTGTTGCCGTGTTTGTAGATGAGTCATGAGTGGGGCCCGTTAGGCCCATAGGCTTCGTGTTTGGGCCCTGTTGTCAGCAGGCTGTTGAATCGGAGGGGCTCAGATGCTCAGGTGACTGAAGTTGTAATGTCAGTTGCCAGGCAATGCTATGGGACGGGATGATGCAGTGACATGCCTTTTGTTTTCAAGGGTGTCGATCTCATAGTCTCCTTCCCCGGTGGGAGACTTTCACAATGATGGAAGGTGAAATTGTTTGCTATTTCTACAGGGTAAACATTCCTGTTCGGCTGCGCCTACCTGCCCACAAGGACACAGAATCAGGTGAAAAAAACAAAAATAGATATGTTCTAGAGTGCGCCCCTGTGAAGTTGCTTAGGACCTTGCTTTCATACACTCTTGTTCATGAAAAGTGACAACATGACAGTCTTATTGCCTTTGGTTGAGGGGGAGCCCCTTTCCCAAATCCTAGATTACAGCAAGGCTGGACCATAACTCCTCCCCTTCTCTCAAATCCCCCTTTATAATCCCTGCCGAGATCTACAAGCAGCAAAAGGTGTGGTGCACTTGTTTGTACAATGTCACAGGCTCGTGTTGCACTGCTGTGAAAGTGGAACTTTTTTAGAGGCAAAACCGCGGGGAAAGTGACATGAATGTGCATCTTACCGTCATCTTCAGTTCACAGAAACTATTCATTTATTGGGTGAGTTTTTTTTTTCTTCCCCTTTATTCACTAATTGATGTGTCAGACCTCCTGGGGTGAAACAAATTGATCACCTTGAGCTCTTACATGCCTCACTAGCAATTATAATCAATTATAATGTGTTTTTCCCAACACTTACTTTTATGTTACTTTCTGGCTTTGCGTCATCAACATATTAGCGTGATCACTTTAACACCGGGACAGCTAGCAACTGTTTCACATGAAGCCAGATCATGGCAGGAAAGGAAAATACCTCCCTACATTCCTCAGTGGAAAGAATGTGCTTCCATCACAGCTTGGCAGTGTCAGCCCTTTGGGTCGGACTGTTGAATGACCACATTGAAATTTGGACAGAATTATTGGCACGATTGTAAAATTGCTCATGAAGATTCTTCACATGCCTGCAAAGGTAACTTATTTTATTTGTTTATCTTGACAGCTTGCATGTGTTTTCAATACAAGAGCAGCAAGCCTCATTTTATCCTTGTGTGGGCTAGTTCGGTGTAAACTTCGCAGTTCAAAGTTGAACAAAGGCTTTGATGGTGTTTGTGACTGACTAGCTCTTGAGCATCCACTTCAGAGCTTTATTGTGACATATCAGGTTTTTTTTTCGTGCTCGTCTCTATAGTGAGCTCTCATAAATCCACCTGCTTCAGAATAAGAAGTGTTGGTCTGCAATCATCCTCTCTTTTTCCCTTTGTGTCTTTCTTGGCTCGCCATTAGCAGGTCTAAAATGGTTGATGTTGTGTCACCACACACCATGCCGTCAGAAAGCGAGGTTCTTGTGGCAAGGTGCTTTCTCACCAAGATTTTGCAAAGCTCTATGAGGTACAATGATGTAGCTAGCGCCCCGTGGTCACGTAGCACTCAGGGCAGGAGGATGTGTTCTCCATTGTTCTGCTTCACTAGTTTTTGTACCTGATTCCCTGTGTGTCATGCTTGCTTGTCAAGTCTGCCAAACAGATATTTTGGTACTTTAACAAAAGAATGAGAAAGTGTCATGGTTTTGTTTTGTTTTGTTTTGTTCTGTTTTTTTGCAACATGCCAACCAGGAAGAATGACTTCAAAGGGTATGTCAGAACGAACTGGAAGAAATTGTTATAGTCATGTAAAATATTCACATTCCTCTATGTATTCCATATCTTTGTATGCTATTCTGCGAGTATAGCAAGATAGTGAAAGATACACAATTTAAGCTCAGTAGTCACACTTTGCATTGTGCATCCTCAATTTTCTGCAGTTATGACAGCATTTATAAGGCATTTTTGGCTTTCTGTTCGACAGGAAGAATGATCCGAGCTCACAGCCTCATTCCTGCCACTCATCCAAGCTGACAGTGGAGGAGTCTGAGTCCCTTGGCAAAGAAACCACCACAGAGCTGGTCTGGCAGCAAAGGGAAGTGAGGTGGGCCTGAAAAGTTTGCATGAGAATGATACCCTTTTTTGTTTTGTTTATTTATTTATTTTTCAAAACTCAAAGTAATTGTTACAGACTACTGTAGTTATGATAATAGCGGTCTTTATAATGGTGCTATTGTGATGATAATGGTGTTCTTTAGAATGTTGCTGTAACCCTGTTCATGTGACCTCACACATCAGGCTCAAAGATTCACCGTGCCAAACAGACCATCATAAGCAGCAGCTGCTAACTGGCCAACTCGGCTGCGTGAGCAACATGGAGAAACTGGAGCGTCCTGCTCATCCTTTCTCATCAGATCATGCTTCCACAACTAAATACACGAGCATCAGTGAGCCTCTCAGTAGTTCAGGGAGCACAAGAGACACATTCAGCTGTTTCGCCATTGGATCCAACCCTCTGGTTCTAGACTCAAGCTCACTTGGCAGGAAGGGAACCAGTGCAGAAAGCATTTTTTTCAAAGGTCTTCAGGATGAAGGGCCCTTTACAGTGGAGCGCCCCGAGTACCAACAGACTCCTTGCAAGGAGCGGTCACGGTTGGATGAGCAGAACTCCTCTTGGATGCCAAGCAAATTTAGGCCCAGCATTGGTACAGTGTGGCAGGTACCGGAAAAGAAAAAATCCAAATCCCCTCCTCCGCCTCTTCCATTGGGCAAGGACGGTTGTGTTTTGCCACACTCTGAGGAATTTGAAAAAAATCCAAAGATTTACTGCAGGTCAGTTGAAAGGCTGGATGAAGGTAACAAATTCCAAACAGAAACAAATATTAAGTCCAGATATAGCATCACGTCACTGTCAGACAAAGACTTTTTCCATCCCAGCAGAGCAGGTAAACACAACCAACTACAGCCAAACAAACACTTCTCATTGTCCAGCACCGATATCAGACAATCTTCTTTTGCCAACAGACCTCCTCACCACAAACAGTTCAGTGAAGAGAGCCTCTTTTATCCCCAGACATGCTTCGCTCCTCGCACCAAGACTCAGAGTGTTGGAAGTTATTATCGCAGTTTACAGGATCTGCCTGTAAAGGCCTCTAGTCGTAAATTGATCTGGTGCTCCTCAGCCTCGGTGGCTGCCACAAGCCGAGAAAATAACGGACAGTGTGTTTCAGTAATCAAAAAGGGAAAACAGATGGGCCACACAGAAAATAAGGGGCACATTGGTCTTCTGAAAAATGTTCCCCTCCTTAATCCCCAAATCTCTGAACGCTCTCACTGTCGTGGTCCACAGGATGCCACAAAGAGAAGTGAAGGACACATTAACAATATGAAAAGAATTTTCCCAGCTCATCGAAGTAACAATTACAAGGCTAGTCTTTCAAGGTTCCACAACCCCTGGCTACCACAAGAAGACCACCGAATATCCCCCTTGGAAACCCCATTGCTTCATTCACTGGCACAGGAGAGTAGAATTCAAACAGAAGCTACACCCACAAGTATTGGGTCATCTCAGAATCTCTGTGCCTCTGTGGTTGCCAATGGTGGAGAAGCCCGTCGACGTGGTGAGCGTTATGCCACTACACTACGGAATGAAGTGCAGCAGAAGCGAGCCCAATTGCAAAAAAGCTGTAGTGCTGCAACACTGACTTGTGATGTCCATGATGAGGACCCTGCACAGTGGGAATATGCAGAGCCACTTTTATCATGTCGCATATCCTCCTCAAACACCTACAAAGACAATCTGAAAGAGGCACAAGCTAGGGTCCTCCAGGCTACTTCTTTTCAGAGACGCGATCTAGAACCACTTGGAACAGAGGCACCGGTGCTTAAAACTTCAAATGGACGCATTAGAGGACGTAAACGTTTCCCCTTAGCCAAACGTATGCATTCCTTCTCAGAACCTGACAAGATAGATAGAGTGGGAGTGGACAGAACGCACCCAGATGGTGATTTTGACCAAATGAAATTCTCTGGGGTCAAGCCAGCGTTTTCCAAACCGGCTAGGCCAGTAACAACGTCCAATACAGAGTTGAACCCAAGTCAAGATAGGACAGTTGAAACCAAAGAAAGAAGGATGTCAGGGGAGCTGATCCTGCAGGAGCAACAGAAGCTCGGAACCTTTGCTGATTACCAAGCCACGTGGAATAAACAGAAGCGAACATCTGAGGCCAAGGTCCAAGGCAGGTATTACTCGGCAGAGAACATCTTGGATACTGAAGCTGAGGAGAAGGCAGCATGCTTCCACGAAAGAACCAGATCTTCTCCCTCTGCAGATTTTTGTACTCAGGTGAGTCAACAATGTTGATTCTTGGGCCTAATTCTTTTTTGACTGGACCCTTTCACTTACAGTTAAAGACATGTTTTGTTTTGTTTTGTTTTGTTTTGTTTTAGCTGATCATCACTAAAGCATTAATTTCTTCGACAGAATCTTCCATCCATGTTTAGTGATCCTAAAGTGAAGCAAAGCAACGGTGGAGCAAGGTAAAATTAGAGAGTAACTGTTTAGTAAAGAAAGAGGAGCAATTAATAATCCCATTTGGGGGGGGGGGGGACTGCATGAGGGAGCTGGAGAACCAAGGGAAAAAGTGCGTTTAAAGGAATTCACATCTATAAACAAATAAATGAATTGATAAATGGGGTCATTTTTCATCGCTAATGGTGTAGTGGTACACTCGCCTGACTTGTGCGTGGGCGGCATGGGACCGGTTCCCACTCAGCGACGGTGTGAATGTGAGTGTGAATGGTTGTTAGTGTCCATATGTGCCCTGCGACTGACTGGTGACCAGTTCGGGGTGTAATCCACCTTCCCCCCGAAGTCAGCTGGGATACACTCCAGCAACTCCCTGCGATGCTCTTCAGGATAAGCGGTGTTGAAAATGGATGGATGCGATCATTTCAGTCATTCTTCAAACAATTAAATAAAAAGATTCTCCAGATTTACCAGTCGAATGAAAAGGACAGATAGCATGAAGTGTCTGGGCAGTATGTTTCAATGTCTGTTTTATATTCAATCATTAGAAATGATGACCCAGTCCCAGACATCAGTGACCACCAACCCAGCCAAGATGCTGTCATCCCAACCTTTGCGGTCTGCTCGAAACCTGGTAGCCTGAGTCCTATTCTTGGATCCCAGCATACCGCCCAGCCTCCGCAAGCCAATGCCATCTCACCTTCTAGGCTCCATTTAGGCTTGGAAACAACTTGCTTGTCACAGGATTTACTCTCAGTGGTCCGAGCAGACCCCGTGAAGCTTCAATCCCTGTCCAGTTTGGATACCACTACAAAGAGTCCCGCCCCTCCTGGCTCTCCTCGGCGATGCAAGATGTTTCAATCTGAAGGCAACACAGAAGATGCAGAGAGCAATAAGGAGCCATCATTATCTTCCCTTGCTGCGGCCAACCACCTTCACGCTCCCTCACCACATCTTCCACTTTTGAGGCTGATGGACAAACAGCTGGTTATGTCTGTTGTGGAGGATTCACGTTTCTGGTAAGCGGTTTATCTGAAGTGTTACAGGTCTGTATCATCTCCTTGTATTCTCGCTCCAGAATGGTTTGATGTTGCTTTAATTGAAGAAAAAAAGTTTTCATTGCACAGCACCAAATTACTGCACATGCTTTCTGAAAATCTTGGACTTGTGCTTCTTCCCAGGTCTGAAAATGACTCTAAGCCCTCTGAAGCTGTGGTGGACTTGAAAAGTTCAGGGGAAAAAATTCTTGGGGTGGTCCCAACTTTCTCACCTCAAAGCAGCAACACCTCTGCCGTCTTGAAGACTTGCTCAGACATCATCTCAGTGGATACCAAAGATACATGGCGCTCCTCAACATTCAGTGTCTGCATTCAGCAGCCTACTCAGGACCTGGGAAATGAATCAGAACGGCTCGGACCCAAGGACAGCACTCCTATGTCAAAACTAGCAAGGGAAGAAGATGCCAAGACAGAGCAGCTGGTAAGGGATATCATGGGCAAAGACAAATCCCTGGTGGAGATCTTAGATCAGACTGGAAGGAAGACCACAATGGACCTTATGGAAGGACTATTTCTCCAAGAGAAGCAAATCCTGGAGGGGTCCCAACAGCGCAGAAGGACCTCATGCAGCTCCAGGCTGCCCACCACAAGCAGGTTTGCAAATGAATGAACGTAACAGACTTTCTTGGTGATAGTCATGATGTAATATGTACTGGTAGCTCGGGGGTAGGCAACTAGAGAGCCGCAGTCCTGCTTGTTTTAGAAGTTTCCCTCGTCCAACACACCTGCTTCAAATGATCAGCTTCTCAGCAAGCTCTGTAAAAGCCTAACAATCCTGATCATTTGATCATCAGGTGTGTTGTAAGAGGGAGACATCTAAAACAAGCAGGAAGGACTTCAGCTTTCTAAGACCAGAGTTGCCTACCCCTGCGGTAGCTAAAGAGCAAAGTGTGGAGCGTCTCTGTCGCTGAAATGCACATGTGTAGGGAAGTAATGATGCTATGAGGCAAAGTAGCCTCACAAATATCCACACTTTCTACTTTAAACTCACTCAGCTCCTCTATATATTATTATACTGTAGTACAGCTCGCAATCCGATTTTCAACATGGTGGGTGACTGGTTAGCACAGGGGTCTTCAATCCTGTCCTCGAGGGCTGCTGTCCTGCCTGTTTTCCATCTCTCCCTGCTGCAACACATCTGATTCATGATCAGATAATCAATAAGATCTGTAGAAGCTGGATATAGAACGATCCTGATCATTTAAATCAGGTGTGTTGCAGCCAGGGCACATTTAAAATATCCAGGAATCTGGCGTTTGAGGAACAGAAGTGACTCCTGGGTTTCCACATCACCCCTCTAGTTCTGATTTTGTGGGTTAAAATCTGGGCTCTCTCTGTGTGTGTGTGTGTGTGTGTGTGTGTGTGTGTGTGTGTGTGTGTGTGTGTGTGTGTGTGTGTGTGTGTGTGTGTGTGTGTGTGTGTGTCCACCCTATTAGGAGGGATGAGGAGAATGTCTCAACAGCAGTTTCGCTGGTTCCCACTTCCTGCTACTACAACACGTCGGCTCCAAAAGCTGAGCTCCTCATCAAGATGAAGGACATGCAGGAACAATTGCTGGAACAGGACTCTGAAGAAGAGCTGGATGAAGACCTAGCCAGTAAAAAGGTATTACATCCTTACAATTTGTGACCTTAAAGCAGTTTCCCCAACCTTGATTTAGCCATTCCATTTTAACATTAGAAAAAAAATCTCAGCACACCACCAAACAAAAAAAGGAGATATTATTTGGAGTAAATGAATCATTTTCTGACCAATTAGGTCGAATTGGATATATTTCCTTGGCACAGCTGATGATCTCTCACGGCACTCTGTTTACAAATCACTGCCTTAAGAAATTTAGCTTGAAGTGAATTCTCTCTGGAATCTCTCCAGCAGGAGCTGATCTCAAGCCTTGCCCAGAAGTTGGAGGTGTTACGGGAGGCACAACAAAGCCTGCAGGAGGACATAGAGGACAACGAGGCTTTGGGCAGCGAGGTGGAGACCACTGTGAAGCGCTTTTGCTTGCCCAACCAACTGGACAAGTTCCGTATGTTTGTGGGTGACCAGGACAAAGTTGTGAGCCTGCTGCTGTCACTTTCGGGTCGGCTGGCGCGTGTGGAGAACGCTCTCAACAGTCTGGAAGATGGAGCGCCCCCGGAGGAGAAGGTAGTATCTTGTACAACGTCCCCTAGTTCTCATACAGGTATCTTTCCAGGAAAAAATATCCCAAACATTTTGTCAAAGTATAAATCACCGTGGGCGGCTCGGTGGACCAGTGGTTAGCGCGTCAACCTCACAGTGCAGGGCTCGTTGGTTCACTCCCAGCTCCGGCCTTCCTGTGTGGAGTTTGTATGTTCTCCCCGTCCCTGCGTGGGTTTTCTCCGGGTACTCCGGCTTCCTCCCACATTCCAAAAACATGCATGGCAGGCTGATTGAACACTCAAAGTTGTCCCTCAGTGTGAGTGTGAGCGCGGATGGTTGTTCGTCTCTGTGTGCCCTGCGATTGGCTGGCAACCGGTTCAGGGTGTCCCCCGCCTACTGCCCGAAGACGGCTGGGATAGGCTCCAACACCCCCTGCAACCCTTGTGAGTATAAAGCGGATCAGAAAATGGATGGATGGATTAATCACCGTGTTAGAATCTCACTTGGGTAAAGGTCTTGAAGTATCTGACATTTACTGTATTTCAATATCTCAAAGTAATGTTCTGACATTAAATGTAGTCAGGTATTTTAAATTTAAATTGGTTTAAAACTGCCCCACTGAAAATGTTTCTAGACAATAAAATACAGTTGTCCTATGCACGAAATGAATTTAACCACAAAACTGTTGATTGTACAAAAAAAAAAAAAAACAGTTGGTTGATTGATCCCTGCACAATTCTATAACATTTTCAGTATGCTACTCAAATGCTGAAATGTTGGTCAGCTGCAGCACACCATTCAACCTCCCCCTTACGTTGTATTAATTTCACCAGTCAAGTTAGATTGAGCTGCAATAAATTGCTCCTCAAATTAAGTCATTATAAGCAAAATTGCTCCTCCAAAGAAAAAGTTATTTTGAGCCTAGAGTACAGTAATGAAGCATGTGTAGTCCTTTCCACTACAATACCAGCAGATAATGTTTTCTACACTCCCGTAGGCTAAAGGGACCATGAAGGTCTTCATTATAAACAAAAATGTGTAGACCAATATCAGCAGTATGGCTTCCCTACTAGCCACTTGTTAGCAATAACTGGTGAGGGGGATTTCTCACACATTGCAGTGTCTAGTTATGGTATTGCTAAACAGACCACTGTCAGCCGTGTCTCTGGGCCCCTTTCAACCAGCAAATCGAGCCTACAGCCTGGGTTACCTCCCCTTTTGCGACACCTTCGATGACTGGTTACTGTCACGTTTTCCTCTAATTTGCAATGTGCACATGACATATGTCTCTTCTCTTATCAGCGCACCCTGACTGAGAAGCGCAAACTGCTAATGCGGCAGCACGAGGATGCCAAGGAGCTGAAGGAGAACTTGGACCGCCGGGAGCGTCTGGTGTCCTCCATCATGGAGACTCATTTGGACCCTGAGCATCTGGATGACTATCGCCATTTTGTCAAGATGAAGTCTGCTCTCATCATTGAACAGCGCAAACTGGAGGACAAGATCAAGCTAGGTGAGGAGCAGCTCAAGTGCCTACTGGACAGTCTTCCGCTGGAGCAGAGGTCACAGTTTTAAAACCCAGGAAGAGGCTCTCCACCAGCTTCTGCACTGGTTACACTCTTCTGTTTATGCTGTCACTGGCCATATATGCCATGGTTTTCTTTTGCAGATGATGTGTCATACTTGAATGCACGTATTGTATGTGACAGGTGGACGACTGGTTAAAACGTCGGCCTCACGGTGCAGAGGTCCAGGGTTCGATTCCGGCTCTGGCCTTCCTGTGTGGAGTTTGCATGTCCTCCCCGTGCCTGTGTGGGTTTTCTCCGGGTACTCCGGTTTGCTCCCACATTCCAAAAACATGTATGGCAGGTTAATGGAACAATCTAAATTGTCCCTAGGTGTGGTTGTGAGCGTGGATGGTTGCTTGTCTATGTGTGCCCTGCGATTGGCTGGCAACCAATTCAAGGGGTATCCCGCCGACTGCCCGAAGACGACTGGGATAGGATCCAGCACACCTGCGGCCCTTGTGAGGATAAACTGATCAGAAAATGGATGCATGTATGCGACCGCACTGAACAATACAGAATCAATGCACTTTTAGAATCCTGTGACTTTAATGCTATTTTTTTTATTCAAATGTCTTTTGACAATCATCAATCAAGATGAAATGCTGGATGGAAAACACTGAAAACCGAAATGTTCCCCAAAATCAGACTTCAACCAATGTAAAATTCACAGACACAAAAAAGGGTATATTCTCAAAGTGGGCAAGTCAGTCCTGACATCTTTACCTCAAAGTTACAGAATCACTGGCTGCATTTATATTTGTACATTGATGTCATTTTACTTATTGCTTAAAGACTCGATGGAGACAATGTGACAAAAAACCAAAACTATTTTGGATTCTTTGTTGATTTTGTAATCACTGAAGATGCGTGATGTTGGTTTGTTTTCTACTCAGTAAGACTTGAGACATCTGGGTGCAGTTTGTAGTGACAAGTAGGTGTTCACTGCAGTGTAGCACAAATTTAAAAGGCTCCAAAAGTAGCTTTCTGGTCTGGTTCTTTTGCCAGGACCTGTGTTTAATATCTGTCCACTGGCACTGCGCAGCCACATCTCATCCGCACCCTTTCACCAGGGCAATAGTAATAAAAGGATCAGATGATCACTTCTTTTCATGTCCTGTTGTCCAGCTTGTCCACTTTGAAAGATGTCTATCAAGGTAAAGACAACTGTGAATGACTGGTAACAAGCTGCTTCTTGATGACTGGAGCACTCTTCTTGTCAGCTTCTGGGATGTCAGTCTTGCCTGAGCTCAGCATTGGCCAATCAGACCATCGTGTCCTCCCCTGGATTCAAGATGCCCCTGAGTCTCAGCATAGGGGGTGTTTCATCGCAGTGGGAAGGTGAGCCCACTCCGAATGGTATTACGCAATACTTATTGTTGCTGTTCTTATGTATTTGTTTGCTTTTTTACTTTTTAAGGTTGTAGCACTTCAAGATCATGCTGATTAAAAGTGCATTAGAAATTAAATCTATTATTATTATTAGCGGAGAATACTGGGAAAGTGCAATAAGAGACGAAGTCGAAAAAACTTGTCCCGGAACTTTTATGTCACACCATCCATTAGCACATTTAACAGTAAAAATTCAAACAATACAAGATTAAGGTTTTTCCTTTCATAAATATTTTATTTGAAGAAAAATCATCATCACAATGTCAAACCATCTGTATCAAGGTTCTTCTGGTCAACAAATAGCAGTGTTTCAACTCCAATGAAAGCTTTGCAAGTGTTGTTGCACACAGCTCTGAGGGACTGACATTCCACCAGATCATCATCTTGGACACTGCAGTTGGAGAAGCGGTTGAATGTGACGTTCACCTGTTAATCCCTGAGTGTGAAAACATGAATTTCCTGCAGAAACGTCACACGGCTGAATGTAGAAGTCGAGCTGCAACAAGTGAAGCTCCAAGCACAGCAGCACATGCCAACCCAGGGCATCCAAACGGGTGCAGCAAGCAATTTATTTACATGATGAAATCTTCCAATAAGAGCAGGAGACCATACAGAAGATAAACATGGTTTTATCAACACTAAAACTGACAGTAACATGTACAAGCACAAATACCATTATCATAAAAAAATAGTATTGCAATCATTTCAATACCAATACCAAAAAAAAAAAAAAATCATTTCATGGGAAACAGTGGCAAATGTGGACAGCGGTCTCTTTGACAAACTTTTACATCACTTTTCTCAAAACAAGCAATGGGACTTTAAAATTCTGTACAAGGGAAATGCGATGCACAAAATAAAGTACATCAAAAATAGGATGTCACTTAGTTACATGCTGCAATGTTTACATCCTGGTGCTGTTGCTGAAAAATTTTACTGTGTGTGACATTACAGGACATGGCTTACTTGAGAGACGTAAAAACAGAAAGACACCTGTACAAATAAATCCTCGTTGTGTCATGACGTGGCATCCATAGTAAGCTCATTTGCATTCCTGGAACACTCCCCCAGTCCTCATTCTCCCCTTTCCGTCCCGATGCATGGAAGCCCAGATAGTTTTGACCCAGATGGTTTGAAAGTGAACAAAATGCATTCATTAAAAAAAAAAAAAAAAAACCCTAAATACAAAATCAAAAGTATGAATACAAGAGATGTTTAATCATTCCAAAGTCCGCCTGTCTGTTCTTGATATACTTCAATGACGTCCTCATCTTCCATTCCCAACTGTCAGGAGAATATCATGCATTTTAACAAGACACTTCTAATTTAAACCTGACATAAAAAGTGTTCATCCTTTTTGATAAGAGTACCTCTTTTGGAGTTTGATTATCTGCAATTCTCTGTCCTTCAAACAGAAACCTGAGTGTATTTGCTGGGACACCCTGCAACACACAAGCAGATCAACTTTAGAAGGTCCAATTCCTGTCACTCTAGAGTTACAAAAATGATAACAATTGAACTGAAATAAGAAAAAAAGAGAAAAAAAACTGAATTGCTGTATACAAAAAAATTTTGAACGTGGTATGTGAATTGTTTTATTCTGTTTCGCTTTCAGCTAAAGTCCAGACATATTTGACACCGCAAGTTCTGACCTGTCTCTGACTGTAAGAGTCCTTCAGCTTTTTCAGATGTGTTGTCATCTTCACTTTAAAATGGATTTCACTGCTGTCCTGTGAACCCAAGAGTAGTTTTGTCAAACAACAAACACACCAGAGGTTAAGTGAGGAGAGCAACATTATTTTCCCTCCTGCCATGGAATCCTCAAAAACGGTCACATCATGTACAAGGAGTCAAAGAGCTCCTACCTGTCCGATCACCTTCAATTTGATGTACTCTCCATCCTTCTTATCACCACAGTCTTGACTAGATGGTTTTGTCTCCTACAAAGTAACAAGGAATAAACTGTTAAACGTCGCTTTCGTGAAAAGTTAACACAAAGGATCCACTCAGAATGAATGGAGAATAGTAAAAACGCCGCTGAGGTTTGTATTCAAAGCATCGTTGAAAATATGAGTTGCGAATACGACTATTGGGAAGTTTACTACTAAATTGGATAGATGTTTAAAGGGGTTTGGGGCCTCTGGCTAGTAACGTGAGCTAACGGTTAGCATACCACAGTACAGGGTACAAAGTAAGCCACCACACACTATGATACTTGGTTTTGCGTTGCGCGCACGTTAAAAGCAATAACTGCCAGTTAATACTTTTAACCTCACCGTATCTGACATGTTTTCCTCCGTGGGTGATGGGAGAAATGCAAAAATGTTAAATTTGCGCTGGCTAGCTAACGCTGTTTTGCTCTGACATAAGCACACTTAGCTTATCTCAGACGGTATGTTGTCGCAGGAAACGGAAAGAACGCATTCCAACGCGACACTTTCAACATAAAATGTATTTAAGCGTCACAGCCACCGGAAGAAACACACGCCAACGATACACATTCAAAACATTTCATGCTCAGCAAACAAGTACAGTACTGTACTTCGAGCATTTTTATTCACGATCCTCGTATTATGTGTGAAACTGCGGATGATTTTAAAACACAGAACATTAATTAATTTAGACATGATATTGACCATGTATTTTGTTGTAATAGGGATTTTTTTTCTCAGTTTGGTAAGTGACACACTGTTTCACATTTGCAAGGTGTGAGTTGCATTTAGTGTATGTGCGGTCTTATTTTTATTATTTCTCAATCTTAGGTTGTGTTTTGGTACTTTCTTCCAAATACATGATTTGTCAAGTGTACTATAATACGAAACGCCAAATTCTTGTGTTCGGTTATAAAATAAAAGCTTTACCATCATATGACATCGTAAACGACGTTTATTTTGTTAGTAAAGTATCGAGCGTTTTCCGGCACATACTATAAACAATCCAGCAATTGATGCTGTTAAGGCCACAGCAAGCAAAGGCTATCGTAGTCACTCACTTCACCCAACACGGCGAAAAGTAGCATAAAATCGCAGGTGTGCAGTAACTTCGTTTTTTTCTTTCTTATTCAAATCATTCTGCAGAGAGGTAGCTCCGTCGTTGGCTGAATGCTACATTGGACGTTGGTTTTCCAGGGCAGACTGGGCTAAAGTGACAGCCCGAGGGCCTCGTCGTCGTGTCCCGAGCAGCTCTCGAACGAACTTGTCAGCTCGGTGCCAAACTTCAGCTCGCGGCGGCTCTCCGCGGGGCTCGGGGCGCAAGGCTCCGGCCCTGTGGATGAGTGGTTGACTTCCGTTCCTTCCAGGTAAAAGACATAAAATACGAGCACAACGTTGGCGTGCTCTCGCAGCCGCGTTTCACCACACGACAGTGCAATGGGAGCGATCGTAGAATACTGTAGCTTGACGATTGGTTCACTTAAGCGTTAGCGTAGCTTGACAACTTCCCTGGCCTGACAGCTAACTGTGCACCCAAGTGTCTCCTGCGTTTGCCCGCTAAGCTTTCTTAGGACGTCGTTGCATGTCGTGGGATGACACGGCCGCCGAACTGTAGCCGCTTGGCTGTGGAATGAATTCACGAGCGAAAGTTGACGTGAAGTGTTAGCTAGCCGGGGCTCATCAAGCCGAGCTACTCGATAGCATGCAGGCGCTAATTCTCTGCAAAGCAGGCCAGAATCACGGCCCCAATGTTTGTTGTCAGTAGTAACAAGTCATGTGCTGTAGTGTTCCAAACCTTTATTGAGGAAAGGCGCATATTATACATTAGAAAAATGTCATGGCACACCACCAAACAAACACATGTCATGAACCCTGAAAGTAAATTATGTACAATGTTTCGAACATTTAATGGATAAATATTTCATTGCCTGTCACTGCTCGTCGCTGCAGTAAATGGCTGATAATTTTCAAATAATTAATTTACCGATCAATTACAGCAAGTGAAATTGGATACATTCCCGTAGCACACATGATGATATCTCATGCTTGTTGATAATCACTACTGTACTGTTTCTCACCTGAAAGGCACAAAATGGGGCTCTTTAATGCAGTTGAGGCAAAGTGCAAAATGAGCAGTGTTCAGCATCCGTCCATCCATTTTCTAATCTGCTTATCCTCGCAAGGGTCGGAGGCATGCTGGAGCCTATCCCACCTGTCTTCGGGCAGTAGGTGAGGGACACCCTGAACTGGTTGCCAGCCAATTGCAGTGCATGCATAAATGAGCAACCATCTGTGCTCACAATCACACCTAGGGACAATTAGAGTGTTCCATCAATCTGCCATGCATATTTTTGGAATGTGGAAGGAAACCGGAGTACCCAGAGAAAACCCACGCAGATACGGGCAGAACATGCAAATTCCATAGAGGAAGCCAGGGAGCTGGAATCGAACCCTGCACCTCTGCACTGTGAGGACGACGTGCTAACCAGTCGACCACCGTGCTGAGTTTTGGGCATGGGAGTGACGTACTCAGTTACTGCCTTGTAATAGTAATTAGTTACTCAGCAATGTAATTCTATTTTCTCTCATGTTCTACCTGGAGTATAAAATATGTTTGTAATAGCTGAATGAATAATAAAAAATGATATACATTAGAACATTTGGCATTGATTTGAACTCAACAGATTGGAACTTACCACAGGCATAGAAATAAAAACGTATAAAAATGAAATCTTGAAAATAAGATTTCTTCACACACTGTCTTTAAGTGCCAAACTAAGACACCCAAACGTAAGATGAAATAAAGGAAAATATGGCCATTAGGCAATAATCTCTATGTTTGGATATTATTGCACAGTAAACAGCTTTGTCCAAATCTTAATTGTTCACTCAGAAGAAACATGTTAAATTTTATTAATTTACTGCCAAGCATGTCCACTGCAAGTTTGTGCTGGTGAGGGTGTGAACAGCTATCTCTGTTTGCCATTGTAAACAGGTATAGGTTTCTTGAAAAAAAAAAAAAAATACTGTAGTACAAACTTGCCTCGCTAGTGCTACATGGGCACATAAGCACTTCCATGCTATTCAAACTCGACATTCTCTCCTTTAGCTCTCTGACTAGGGAGTAATTTTTTTCACCACGACGCTCACTCCTGGTTCCACAAACAACATAAAAAACATTGGCAACACACGCAGGACCAACTTCAAATAAAAAGGAAGGTTTTGCTTAATTTAGTTTAGATAATGCATTTTTCTTTGCTGCTACTGGACTTGTATCTCATGCACTGATTTACATTTGCTGGCTAACAGCCAATCAGAGTGATTTTCACCGACAGCACTTTGCATACTGAGATTGGTGCCTTACAGAGGTCGGTCATGTTCTTCCCTGAGATGACAGAAGTTCCATTTCATTGTACTACCTGTCACTACAAACTATTCCTGGCATAGATAAGAATACATTTTATTTAATAGCAGTTTGACAATTACTCAAAATCCTTACAGTGCAGTGCATTAAAAGGAAGAAATAAAGTTCTTCTTCTTCTCCTTTCGGCACGTCCCTATTCAGGGGTCGCCACAGCGAGTCAGTAATTTCCATCCGCCCCTGTAAACCGTCCTACCAACTCGCATGGTCGTCTTGGCAAAAGTTTTACGCCGGATGCCATTCCTGACGCAACCCTCCCCATTTCTCCGGGCTTTGGACCGGCACTGGGGAACAGTGCACCCCCAGGGGAGGGCACTGCCCCCCAGCGGCTGGGTTAAAAGGAAGAAATAAAGTTAAAGTCATGAATTAGAATCACACAAAAGCGTTGTCAGGGTGGGTATTGACAAATAAAGATTAAGTAGGGCAGTCGCTAGAATCACGGCCCCAATGTTTGTTGTCAGTAGTAACAAGTCATGTGCTGTAGTGTTCCAAACCTTTATTGAGGAAAGGCGCATATTATACATTAGAAAAATGTCATGGCACACCACCAAACAAACACATGTCATGAACCCTGAAAGTAAATTATGTACAATGTTTCGAACATTTAATGGATAAATATTTCATTGCCTGTCACTGCTCGTCGCTGCAGTAAATGGCTGATAATTTTCAAATAATTAATTTACCGATCAATTACAGCAAGTGAAATTGGATACATTCCCGTAGCACACATGATGATATCTCATGCTTGTTGATAATCACTACTGTACTGTTTCTCACCTGAAAGGCACAAAATGGGGCTCTTTAATGCAGTTGAGGCAAAGTGCAAAATGAGCAGTGTTCAGCATCCGTCCATCCATTTTCTAATCTGCTTATCCTCGCAAGGGTCGGAGGCATGCTGGAGCCTATCCCACCTGTCTTCGGGCAGTAGGTGAGGGACACCCTGAACTGGTTGCCAGCCAATTGCAGTGCATGCATAAATGAGCAACCATCTGTGCTCACAATCACACCTAGGGACAATTAGAGTGTTCCATCAATCTGCCATGCATATTTTTGGAATGTGGAAGGAAACCGGAGTACCCAGAGAAAACCCACGCAGATACGGGCAGAACATGCAAATTCCATAGAGGAAGCCAGGGAGCTGGAATCGAACCCTGCACCTCTGCACTGTGAGGACGACGTGCTAACCAGTCGACCACCGTGCTGAGTTTTGGGCATGGGAGTGACGTACTCAGTTACTGCCTTGTAATAGTAATTAGTTACTCAGCAATGTAATTCTATTTTCTCTCATGTTCTACCTGGAGTATAAAATATGTTTGTAATAGCTGAATGAATAATAAAAAATGATATACATTAGAACATTTGGCATTGATTTGAACTCAACAGATTGGAACTTACCACAGGCATAGAAATAAAAACGTATAAAAATGAAATCTTGAAAATAAGATTTCTTCACACTCTGTCTTTAAGTGCCAAACTAAGACACCCAAACGTAAGATGAAATAAAGGAAAATATGGCTTAGGCAATATAATCTCTATGTTTGGATATTATTGCACAGTAAACAGCTTTGTCCAAATCTTAATTGTTCACTCAGAAGAAACATGTTAAATTTTATTAATTTACTGCCAAGCATGTCCACTGCAAGTTTGTGCTGGTGAGGGTGTGAACAGCTATCTCTGTTTGCCATTGTAAACAGGTATAGGTTTCTTGAAAAAAAAAAAAAAAATACTGTAGTACAAACTTGCCTCGCTAGTGCTACATGGGCACATAAGCACTTCCATGCTATTCAAACTCGACATTCTCTCCTTTAGCTCTCTGACTAGGGAGTAATTTTTTTCACCACGACGCTCACTCCTGGTTCCACAAACAACATAAAAAACATTGGCAACACACGCAGGACCAACTTCAAATAAAAAGGAAGGTTTTGCTTAATTTAGTTTAGATAATGCATTTTTCTTTGCTGCTACTGGACTTGTATCTCATGCACTGATTTACATTTGCTGGCTAACAGCCAATCAGAGTGATTTTCACCGACAGCACTTTGCATACTGAGATTGGTGCCTTACAGAGGTCGGTCATGTTCTTCCCTGAGATGACAGAAGTTCCATTTCATTGTACTACCTGTCACTACAAACTATTCCTGGCATAGATAAGAATACATTTTATTTAATAGCAGTTTGACAATTACTCAAAATCCTTACAGTGCAGTGCATTAAAAGGAAGAAATAAAGTTCTTCTTCTTCTCCTTTCGGCACGTCCCTATTCAGGGGTCGCCACAGCGAGTCAGTAATTTCCATCCGCCCCTGTAAACCGTCCTACCAACTCGCATGGTCGTCTTGGCAAAAGTTTTACGCCGGATGCCATTCCTGACGCAACCCTCCCCATTTCTCCGGGCTTGGGACCGGCACTGGGGAACAGTGCACCCCCAGGGGAGGGCACTGCCCCCCAGCGGCTGGGTTAAAAGGAAGAAATAAAGTTAAAGTCATGAATTAGAATCACACAAAAGCGTTGTCAGGGTGGGTATTGACAAATAAAGATTAAGTAGGGCAGTCGCTGAACTTGAGGAAGGGGTAAAAAGTTGACTTTATTTGTCAAAATGAAGAAATAAATGATCAGATTTAGCACATGATGATCTTTCATGGCACACTCTTCATCTGTCAGGCAAGTGAATCCATGGTTTGAAGTCTCCTTTGTTGACGGATGCTCACAGATTTTGTATCAGCTGATCGGGTAAATCCCTTTTTTTTTCTGACAACCCGCACAGCGTGGAGGTTTTGAGAGCAAATTCGTTTTTGTTGGACAGCGACGATGTGCAGGTTAACGTGTCTCTGCATGAAGAAGAAATGCCAGTGTGCTCAGTTGTGCTCATATTCTTGTCCTGACTTGTCTTTACAGGAGGAAAGAATCCCTTTGATGGGAGAATCCTCTTTCCTGGCCTCTTGGGTCAAACGTTGTGCCAATATGATGGGTATGTAGAAGTGTAGTTAACATGACAATTTGACAACATCTTATGCAGCAATTAGTATACTTCAACAGTGCCATTAAATCAGATGAGAAGTTAAAGTGTAATTGAACCTCTAACATGGTATGTGGTGTTATAATTAAGAATGTTTCAAACATAATTTAATAGTACAGTGGTACCTCCAATTATGAAATTAATTGGTTCTGGAAGAAATTTCTTAACAGGAAAATTTTGTAAGTAGAGACGCATTTTCCATGTAAATGCCCTAATCCGTTCAAGCCCCCCCACCCCACCCAATTCAGACATAAATGTTTCCAAAAGCATAAAAATGGATCAAAATATGTAACAAATACATGTTACAATTAGATTATTGCACAATAAGAGTTGTGCATAATGTAAAAAACAAAGAATAGAGTACAGAATAAAAATGGTCATTTAACTTTTAACTGCGTCCTCATCGTTTTTTGTTTTTTTCTTTTTTTTGCCCTCTTTAGTTCATGTTCCCTCTCAGAAGTGGTTTTTGCCTGGCGTTTTGTAAAGAACTGATCCAAGGATGTTTGCTTTTGTCAGCTTTTAACATTCGTTTGAAAATGTCCATGGCAAACATCAGCAGAGTGAGCGATCGCCTGACCGGTGAAGACTTTTTTCTGGGTGATTCACATTTACGTAAAACTATCAGAACACCTCATGGGTGAATGACGAGGACGGTGCATAGACACAAATCTATCTATCTACACACATTGACCCGTACGGTGGAGAAGTCCCTCTTAGCCAATGGGATGCCAGGATGATGCTCCGTAATAGCCAATGGCAGAGCAGCTACAAATATGTTGAGTTCAGGAAACTCGGAGCTACGAGTAGCAGCCCATACTGTATTTTTACCTTTCGTATCTTGAAATTTCTTTCGTAGTAAGAGGCAATATTTTCCTGTTGAGGCGTTTCGTAACTTGAAAATTTCGTATGAAGAGACGTTCGTAAGTAGAGGTACCACTGTAATTAAAATTAAAATAAATTAAAATAAATTAAATTAAATTACAACAATTTTGTCTACCAATCACCGACTCATATTAGCCATAAGCGGAAAGTCTAATGTGTCATTGATAGTGTTGTACAACGATACAGTGACAACTTCTGCAGTGTTTCCCAACTTTTTTGGCTTGTGTAGCCCCAAATCTTTTTGTCATACCATGAGTACACCCTCCCTCAAATGTGTAGCTGATTCTCTAAAAGTAGAACGCAACACAACTGATTAGAATGAAAAGCATTTTTTGTTTGCTTAATTTGCACATCCAATTCTTAGACATTGTCTTCTGTTTAATACAAATGAAAACATCAAATAAATATGTTGCTTTAAAAATAAATGTTAAAAAAAAAGTAATATGAATAACAAAAATGTGAATCAAGATAAAGAATAAACAACAGTTAAAACATTTAAATTCCAAATTGTACAACTTGAGGGGCTTCCGCTGTACTGGAAGTTGGACTTGGAAGCACATACGCACCATATGCCATTATTTGTGGTCAAGGTTTTGTTTTTATGTTGTACTTGTAACAACGATTAACTTGCTTCTACACTTGTGCGCCAAATATAATGAGCAGATGAGCAGGAGGCGTTGCAGTCAATCATGCAGGACCTGGCAGAACTGCATCGCTCCAGCCGTCCTGCCGGATTCCTGTCAGACCTGGGCAAACCCAAAGCCTCCTCGCCCAAGAACCTGGTAAGAAGCCCTGCGCTCAGTCTCAGCTCTGTGATTTATTTGCAGCCATTTCCGACAACAGTGATTCCCAACCAGTGAACCCTGAGACATTATAAACTGAGCCGCGCAAATTAACACATTTCATTCCATTGGGTGAATTATTTATTCATCTTTGTTCATCCATCTATGCCAGCAATGTAGAGTACAGTGATGGGCTGAATATGAAATGGTCTTCCACTAGATGGCAGATGGTACCATTAACCTGTCGATTGCCAGTCAGAGATAGAGATGTCTCGGTAACGGCAATATTGCGATATCGCTATGTTAGAATTGCTTCAATATCGTCATCTTCAAAGCAGCACATTTGTTCAAAGGGCCATATCGTTTGAGTTCCTCATCAAATTGCACCCCCCCAACACACACACATCACAGTTATTTTAGTAAATGAAAATAAACCAACTAAAAAGCTAAAATTGAACAAAGAAAACAATTTTGTTCATGAAATAAAATAAAAATGAGAATGCTTTCAAAATAGTTAACCAACAGTTTAACCAACTATAACTAAAATTCCGAAACTTAAGTAACCCTCACACACACACACACACACACACACACACACACACACACACACACACACACACACACACACACACACAAGAGAAAACCTTGGTCTAATTATTGCTCACATGGACAAAACTGTGTTCGAACTGGACATAACGCAGCAGTTATCACTCCCATAAATCACTCATACCTGCAAATATTTGTCAAGTTCTCGGTCAAAAAACATGGGTAGTCGCCCGCTTGAGTCGATCACAGCATTGCAAACTACATAGACTGTGATACTTTGCGCCGCTGAGTATTTCAATTCTCTGACATTTGTCTTTCTCTCAATGTTTGTGTTTGGAACAGAACGACGTCAGAGTGAAGTTCGAGTTTAAAGGAGAGAAGAGGTGAAGCACAAGGCTGGCTTTGTAACTCATGTTCCTTTTTGAACGTGCACCCATTGACCTTGACCTCTCCTGTTGTTCTGTGTAGGATTTTGCAATTCTCTCGCCCCATCAAGTTGGACGACTTGAGGGAAAAAGCAAAGGTGGCTTTCGGTCAGACCATGGACCTTCACTACAGCAACAACGAGGTAGAGCCACTGCTATTACTCACTGTGACGTTATGTCATTTGAAAAGATCCCTGACAGTCATGACATGCCTGCTCAAAATGATCTATTTCAGGGGTGACTAACCAGTCAGAGCCTAAGAGCCAAATTTTTTACTGTGTTACTGCAAAGATCCACACACACACACATACACACACACACGAGCATGCACTCGCGCACATATGTATGCACGCCACGACGACCAACAGCCGAACATAAATGAAACCTAAAGACACAAGCACACATCTTTTTTTTTCCCCTCCATTTCCTCCTCCTACTTGGGACCAGTCCGCTGGCTCTTGGTCGATTGCGATCGACGTATTGGGCACCTCTGCCTTAAAAACAGAGGTAATTCGCTGACTAGCTTAGCACTTAGCACTTTGCGCCCTTGTCTGCGCATGAGCGGTGATTCAGTCTGATTGGTTGCCCTCTATGTCAATCAAGTAACGGGATTGCTGATAGGCTGACGTAGTACGTTCTGTGTTTTAAGCGCGTTGTTTGAATGGCAGCGCTCTTGCCGAGGCGTTTTCGACAATTGTCGTGTGAAAGCCCGGGAGCTGCATTAAACCAGCCAAAGAGCTGCATGCGGCTCGTGAGCCACGGGTTGGCCACCCCTGATCTATTTGGTTGTTACTATCCAGTTCACCTTGGGCTTAGTTTCTCAGCGGGGCTAGAATTCTCCATCGCCCCGTCTCTGTCGCCACCTTCAGAGAACATGGTGGGTTGATGAGCCATTCCCATCCCAATGGCTTCTGGCCGAGTCGTGGTAACCATTCCTCGGTTCAGTATGGTCATTCATTCATTCATTTTTCGATCTGCTTATCCTCACAAGGGTCGCGGGGGGTGCTGGAGCCTATCCCAGCTGTCTTCGGGCAGTAGGCGGGGGATACCCTGAACTGGTTGCCAGCCAATCGCAGGGCATTATAAGATCAAGTTTTCGAAAATAATTTCCAGTTCAGTATAATTGGTAGAAACTTTATTTGCATGTATGGCGCCATTGTTGCAGCACATCCTTGGGAAAGTTTTGGAGGCTTACCTCGCCTTTTTTTTCCCTTCTTCTTTGATTGTAGAAAGGGTTCTGTCAGTCGTCATCTGTACCTGTGGGTAAAAAACAAAAAAACAA